AATCGGTGAGTGTCATCAGTTGATCGGAGTCATTGTACGCCTTCATGTTGATGCACGATATGAATTCGCCTTGTTTACAACAAACACATCATTTAGACATTCGGTAGTACCGCGGCGAAAATTTAATTCGCCATCAACACCACCTTGTATAAATTCGCCTTGCCTTGATATTATGCTTGAATCAAGGTGAATTTATACAAGGTGGTGTTGATGGCGAATTTAAATTTTCGCCGCGGTACTACTGAATGTCAAAATTATGTGTTTGTTGTAAACAAGGCGAATTCATTTTACAACAAACACATCATTTTGATATTAAGACGTACCTCGGCGAAAATCTAAATTCGCCATCAACACCACCTTGTATAAATTCACCTTGATTCAAGCATAATATCAAGGCAAGGCGAATTTATACAAGGTGGTGTTGATGGCGAATTAAATTTTCGCCGCGGTACTACCGAATGTCTAAATGATGTGTTTGTTGTAAACAAGGCGAATTCATATTACAACAAACACATCATTTTTGCATTCAGAAGGACCGCGGCGAAAATCTAAATTCGCCAGTAACACCACCTCAATTCATTAAATAAAAACAACAAAGCGAATTTATGCAAGGTGATGTTGTGGACAACAGTCGTTGCTTGAGCTGATCTGCTCTTTTGCCAGACTGTCAGGCCACTTTGGTGAATACCACTAATGTTTATAATGTGTTTTAGGCGCAGTATTTGTGACAATAGTCATACGATGAATTTTGCTAGTTTTGGCAGTAGTGGCAAGTGCAAATCGTTTTCGAAATTCTGTCAAACTCAAGAATTTTCAGAAGAGATTGCAGGACCTTGCACGTGAAGGAGCTTTCGAAAGCAGTTTTTATATCTGAAAATCAAACTTTCCGATACTACTTTTTGTCTGTTTACACGGTGAAAGCAAATAAGTTCACTTTCAACTATGTTACCAGACTTTTTTATGCTTATAAAAAAATTAATGACATGGACAATTTACTAAACCTGCTAAAATGTCCCCAAAACAGTCACAAAATGTCTAATACATTACTACTAAAATACTCAATATAAGTAGAATAAATTTGTTACATATATTTCATGTTTTAATCAAAATTTTTATTATTTTATACAAATTCGCCAAAAACGCGTCACACGGCAACACTCGACTGGTCTTTATTTCCGAAAGAGATTTCTGCAAATCTGCAAAAAGAACTTTCTGGCTGTTTACACGGGAAAGTAGGCTTTCGATTTGGCATTTTGACAGCAAAATGCGCATGATTCAATAATACAAGGTTAGATAT